CGGGCGGCGGTCCCAGATGATGACCAGGTGAGCCCCCTCCCTCCCTCCCCCTCCAAGGGGCCCCTCCCCCGTATCTGGCGGGGGAGGGGGGCTGCTTCCGGGAGGGGGGCTGGGGCGACCACCCACCCTCCCTCCCTCCCTCCCTCCCTCTGCAGCTTCACAGACCCCGTGGTCTCCATGGACCTCCTGCGAGCCGTCCTGCAGCCCAGCATCAACGAGGAGATCCAGGCCGTCTTCGGCAAGTACATGAAGGTAGGGGGCTGCGGAGGGGGAGGGGGCTGGGGGAGGGAGCAGCTGCCTGGCCAGAGGCGCCCCCCCCAGCCCCCCCTCCCAGGTGCCCCTGCCTCCTCTGGTCCACGCAGCGGCTGCCCCAGTGGGAGGCCAGGAGTGCGCTGGGGAGCCTAATAAAGGGGCAGGGGGCTTGTGGGGGTGCTCACACATCTGCCAGGGCTGCCTTTCGTAAGACCGGCCACTGGGTGAAGCCACAATTAAATGCGGGTAGTCCTAAAGGTGCTTTTATTCCAAGATGCAACTGGAATGTCTGCTTTTTCTTCGAAGACGTTTCGCTTCTCATCCAAGAAGCTTCTTCAGCTCTGACTGGGTGTGTGCAATGGAATGACTGATGGTTGCATGTAAATCCTCCCCCCCCCCCCAATCCAGTCAGAGCTGAAGAAGCTTCTTGGACAAGAAGGGAAACGTCTTCAAAGAAAAAGCAGAAAGTCCCGTTGCTTCTTGGAAAAGGGAATCTCCATGGACAAAGACAGTCTGCAACTGACAAGCGCTTATTTAGTGCCCGAAGTTACAACACTGGAAGAGGTGATTTGTGATTGTTTTTCACACAACCATCACAGCGGCATCTCCGTGATCACCTGAACAAAATTCAGACGCTTGGCCTCGTAGATATGACGGTTGCAGCGTCCCAGAGTCGCGTCATTCATTCCCTTTTGCAAACGTCTTAACAAGCCAAATCAGCAGGGAAACCAGATTCACTTTACACTAACTGAACTGCAGTGATCCACTTAGCAACTATGGCAGGAAAGGTCCTAAAATGGGACAAAAGTAACTGAAGAAGTGTCTCCCTTAGCAGCAGAAACGTTGGGGGCTCCGTTTGGTCGTAGGTCAGGGACTTGCCTGCAAATGCATCCATCGGGAGGGCCTGCCCGTTCTGTCCTCGGCCTTCTGACCCTGAGCGGCTCGCTCCTTCTCTCCAGTTTTTCCAAAAGGCGGCAGGCAACGTGCGTGAGAATGTCGGGGAGGACGTGGACACGGAGCAGCTCATCCAAGAGGCCTGTCGCAGCTGCCTGGAGCAGGTAAGGGCAGGGGGGGGGGGCTGCAGCTGCAGCACAGCCTGTTCCAAGAAAGGGCTGCCTGTCAGCTGCTGCTTCATTTAATAATCAGGAAAGGAAACCACTCAACTCCATTTGTTTGAAATTAAGTGTACTGTTACTAATTACAAACGAATAGTAGCAAAGCAAAGCTGAGTCTGGTTAATTGGGCGCGAAAGCGAATAATATCATGTATAGTTCAATCCCCTCCCCTTGGCACCCCAATCCATACTTGAGAGACCGCCTGCTGCCAATTACCTCCCACAGACCCATTAGATTTCACAGGGTTGGCCTCCTCCGGGTGCCAT